TACTGTGGGTATAACATTTATCACGTGCTGAAGGAGAATAACAATTTCAAAGGAAATGTAATTAAGAAAAACACCTTATTCTACGTATCAAAATTAATGGCAGCCAACATGTAACCTTCCCCCAAATAAAATACAATGTAAATCACCATGTATGTTTTCATCCATGGCTGTCTTTCAATTTTGAGAATTTACCAGAATATGGTAACTAAGAGACTGAACCATAAATTGGGGAAATAATGGTTCAAATCTCCTTTCTGCAATACTATCATTCACTCATCCACCGCCACCCCAGTCTTTCAATTGGGATAATACTGCTGATCTGACCTAAACAAGGTTGTAAGAACTTCCCACACGTAAGAATGATAGGGCGGCATTTTAACACTAATGCACATTTTTACAATGCATATTGTAAATTGGATATATTCCTTTATATCTTGTCATTTTACTTAACGCTTCCATGTAGTTCAAAGAAGGATTGGATACATTCATGTAGGAACTGAAAAACTCATCATTTCAGATGGTCAGAGAGCTGTAGCCAGAAATAAGTGGTGGCTGATTTTGATAGACACCTGAATTTGTCTATCGTGATTAGGAAATTAAGTTACCGTATGATTGCTTCTATTTCACACACTGACTATTGTTTCCAGTTTTGATTAGTAACCATTTTCTTTAGGGTTTCTACATAGGTTTCTCAGTGTTGTGAAGCTTTGTGTGAAATCAAACTGAAAAAGTGTTAAAGCACACTGAACAAGCAATTCTCTGAATATAATAGAAGCTGCAACTGATAGAAGTTTTTTTTACAGAATGGATCAGCTGAGCTGGATGTTCGGCCTGGGAATGTGCTTCTAGGAATTCCTGTTAGGAACAGTCTTAAACATCTCTCTCTGGATTTTTTGCTTTCTGCAAGCTATTAGAATTTCTCATTTCCAAATGTAAATGTGAAAGACTGTTCTACCAGTAACTGCTTTGACACAGGAAAATATCTTTCAATGTCTATGTGGATATATGAATATAAAAGGATATAGTAAAATATATATTAGAAATTTACATGTATTTTAAAACTATTTGATCTTGAACTATAATCCCACAATTGTTTTTTTACACATATGATGACCAAGTGGGTATCTTTTGTTCTTTATATTAAATTTCCTTTTATTATTTTCTAGTTCTGTAACGAAAGCATCCCAGAATATAAACATTTCCTTCACCACCTTGTCCAAATAATTTATGAAAAAAATTGAATGGTACTAAGTTCCATATTGAACATTGCAACATGCCATTCAGTGTCATGCGAATCCACCTAATAAATGTGTCATCTATCTATATGTAATTAGCTTTAGAACTGTTAGGCTGCTGTGTGAAGTATCTCATCATTCTGTGACTTATAGAAGCAGCTACAGTACTTCAATGTCCTTCACAGTCTTCAAAATGGATAGCTACATTGAATCAGTTAAGACTGACATGCTTTTTTTCTGTGTCAAGATGCTACCTTGAAGCAAATTGCTATAGGAATTCATGAGGGTTCTGCAAAAAATATTGCTACTACTTATAGGTGTATTAATTTACTAAATTCTTGTGATCAATACATAATACAAGTTGTAATTCTGTCCCAGGTGCTTCTTTCTCTTCCTCTCAGTTTCATCATGATGGTATCTTGGCTCAATCTGTCTTACATTTTTCTGTAGTGAGGGTTGTTTTAAAAATAGCCTTTCATGTTGGAGGTGCATAACTTTTTCCCTCCTCTCACTTGTTCCTTTCTCTGTCTGATCTGTGATTTTCATTTATGGCAGATGAAAGAAAATGCCTCCAAAACTTTGAATATTTAACGAGGGGAGGAAAGAACGGGTAACCATTGGGGAGCATTTTTATCTCTTACCTGATACATGTTTGCAAAAAAAAAAAAAAAAAAGACAAGAAAACCCACAGCACTTCTTCAAAATCTCCTAAATCAATAGTTTATTTCTTTCTTTACCCCTAAATTGCATTCTGGAATGTTTTGTTCAGAAGACTGCTGTGTGCATAATATTCTTTGATTAATGCCAGGAGACACCCCTGGCTGTTTTCATCCACCTAAATTATGACTAGGAGGATAAGTGAGCCAGCAACCTTTTGCAAATGGGATCCGATATGGTTGACTGGAGAAGGAGACAAAATTGTATCCAAAGAATGATGAGGATGTTAATGTGGGAGATGAAATGGAACAGCTCTCTGTGGGGCCAGGCCACCAAACAAAATATCCAAGAACAGGAATCCTGAGGGAGTAATGTTAGAATTTATTCCAAATGAGCGTGCTTCTTTAAACAGTGTATATTATTTCAGTTGATTGGGGTTATTGTGAATGGGCTTGAATAACTAAATCTTAAACAATGGCTAAACCATGCTTTGAGTATTCAATTGTCAGTGAGGTATCAGAATAAAATGAATCTTTTTGGCACACGGTTTACTCTGCCTGCAAAGGGAAACCATTCAAAGTACCAAACCCTAAGAACCATTGCATGCAAACACACACATCACATCACCATAAATCCCTGTGCTAGTCCTGAGCAATGGACTGCAGTCAATTTACTTCAGCCTCCTGGCCCTTTGTGAAAAGGTTAATGTAAAACCTGTAGAATAGCTTCTTTCCCGGGGCTCTGCTGGAGTCCCTGAGATTAGACACAGTTGGAATTCTTGTGACTCCAGAAGGATGGGTGTTATGAAAGGAGGAGGAGGGGGAACTATATGATTCAGTGCTGATGGAATCACCCTTGATCCATCTGTCTGGGATATAATCCTCGCTTCAGTAATTAAAATAATAATAATAATCAGTATTACAAGGAAAATGTTGTACAGTAAAATGTAATCAATTCCGTAGAAGCTTAACCATCTGTTAAAGGTTAAATCCGTGAAGAGTATCAGGGTATGGCGCATTCGTCCTTTGATGCATTGAACTCTCGAATCTAGCCTAGTGTTGAGACAGAAGCAAACATAGAAAGGGATGAATTCCCACAATCCCCAAGCAAAATTAATGTCTTCAGTCTGGGTAAAAGTAATATCCTTAGGGGTTCTCTTGTAGATCCTAACGATGTTTGAATTCCCCTGAGACTATCACCAAGCCACAATTTCTATCTACTTGCAAAGAATAAACCACTGCAATTGAATGATTATTGCTGCTATCATGGTTCATAAGCATGGCCTAGAGGCGCAAATCCTCATGGATCTTTTAGTTTTTAAATGAGACCTTGAAACCAACTTCAAATCACAAATTGCATTTCTCTGCACAGAATGTGACATGACTATTATGCATCTGATAACTGGTAATGCTGCTATAGTTCCAAAACCTGGCTGTGAATCTTCAAGATTTTACTTAATATCTACTTGAAACCATCATTAAAACACATAGCACATGCATCTACACAAATGAACCATTACAGTAATGCAGCTTGTTATTTCTGACTACGATCATAGTGCAAAAATTCCAAAGCATGAGAAAGAGATGCTGAGTTTTGTGTGTTCATGCATGGCTGACTTTTCAAACCAAACATCCATAAGATTTTGTGCAGCATAGATGCTAAAACCAGAAGAAAAATGGAATCCATGAGGGATCAATTCCAACGATAATGCTTTGGGAATTAAAACAACATCCCTCAGCAAAGGTCTGAAATGTATACTTCAAATAGGTCTGGAGCCATTCCATTACAGAACTCACATCCTAATGCAGAGAAATGGTTTGCAAGGATATGATGTTGGAAGATAGACATTGAGAGATTAAGGGAAATCATGGTTGAATCATGGAAACAGGTTCCAACTATGATTTGATTGTACTTTCAACTGGAAACCCATGAAGATCTATTGTTTGAATCCTTATAGTCATTTGTGTACTATAGTGCCAAAAATAATTATATCTATAATTGGTATATTTTTCAGATGGGCCCCAGTAAAATCATAAGAATCCATGAACATATAGGCCCCAGGCCTTTCTATTTATTTAATTTGTTTGTTGCATGACGTCCAAAGATTTTAGGCAAATTGCAAGTAAAAATACTGAGGAACAATGCCTACACAATTGTGAGGGGGACTTTATCCTTAGCAAAGTCCTAAGAGAAGAGTCAGTTTTTCAAGCTCCTTCAAAACACCAGTAGAGTGGTCATCTGGCTCTTCAGGGAATCTCATTTCAGAAGATAGGTGCTGCTATAGAAAAGACTTCCAAGATCCCAACAAATGGCATTGTTTAAAAAAAGGAGCTTAGAGTGTACCATGTCCCAACCCTTCTAGATTAAATCAGTTATGCAGATACTATGAGAGAGGTTAATGCTTTATGGTATGAATAATGCCACAAATACTTGGATATATAATTATTACGATTCAATCTGTGTATATCTATTCTTTGCCAGTAATTTCAGCAAAGTCAGAGATAAAAATTGTGAGAATTTTTGATAATCCATATTTAAATCCTTATTTTTCCTTCACTGTGGCTCCAATGAATATAATAGTAGTATTCTGCATAAAAGATTTGCCATTTTCAGGTGAACCCCATATAAGAATCATGAACAACTATGAAAGGATTCAAGCTGGTTTTTCCTTGTCAACATCAATAAATACCTCCATTGCATATCTATTGTTTTCTACTGGAAAGTTGGGTCTTTGTGGTATAAGAATAAAAACAGTCTCCCTATGATGTATTCACAGCACATGCTTAATCAGATGCATTCACACATTACTTTGATCTTTGGATCTTACTATCTTGCATGAACACAGCTTGCGAATCCGACAGGTTTAATCCGATTCCTGAATGGGTACAATACAATCCCTCCCCCCTTCTTCACTCTCCTTACAAAACTGGGTTAAGCCTGTTGCATGAACATCTCCCCCCCCCCCCCCACGCTCTCCCCTCAGTCTTGCTCTCCTTACTTCTTCGCCACATCTTCCTCTGCCCACCGAGGGGTTAATCGTTCTGCCACTCGTCGTCGCAGCAGTTGGGGCTCTGGCTCGACGGCGCTGTCCACCAATACGGTGCTGAAATGGCAAGCGGGTCCTCCTTTGCTGGCTCGCTCTGCCAACCGAAAGTAGTTGGAAGTGTAAGTCAATCGATGATGAAGACGCACAAGGGAAGGAGCGGAGGCTGCAGCTGAGGCGGAGCCAGAGCCAGAGCCATTGCTCTGTCGCGTCCCTTCTGAGCCCGCTGATGTCTCTTCTCGATCGAGGCAGCGGGACTTCCCGCTGGGACTGGGAATATTGTAAGGGGAAACTAAGGCTCTCCCAGAGCTTGTCGAGCTGCGCTCCGAGTTGGGGAAGACTCGAGGTGTTGCTCCTGCTAAGTTCTTGCTTGGCTTTGGCTCCGGCTCCAGCAGCTGGCCAGCTACGCTATTCGGTACTCGAAGAACTGGACCACGGAGCCTTTGTGGCCAACATCGCGGAAGACTTAGGTCTGGACGTATCGGAATTATCAGCGAGGCGGTTTCGTATTGCAACCCGGGCGGGGAGTAAGCAACACCTGGAGGTGAATCTGGAAAATGGGATCCTCTTTGTTAACGAGAAAATAGATCGGGAAGAGGTGTGCGAGGGCAGCAAGGCCTGCCTCCTGCACCTGCAACTGGTCATCGAGAGCCCTCTTGAGCTTTATCGCATCGAAGTGGAGGTGCTAGACATCAACGACAATGCACCCCGGTTCCCTTGGCAAGAATATGTGCTGGAAGTGACAGAATCAGCACTACCTGGGGCCCGCTTTCCCCTGGAGAGTGCACAGGATCCCGACGTGGGCACAAACTCCCTGCGTACTTACAGACTCAGCCCCAATGGTTATTTCTCGCTGGAGGTGCAGACTCGCAGTGACAGCAGCAAGTTTGCAGAGCTGGTGCTGGAGAGGAGTCTGGACCGAGAGCAACAGCGTAGCCACCGGGTCCTGCTCACGGCTTTGGATGGTGGCATTCCCGAGCGCTCGGGCACAGCTAGAGTTGCGATCATGGTGTTGGATGCCAACGACAATGTGCCAGTCTTTGATCAGTCCACTTACAGTGTAAGCCTGCCAGAGGATGCGCCCAAAGGGACTCTGGCTATCAAACTCAACGCTACTGACTTGGATGAGGGAACCAATGGCGAAATTGAATATTCATTCAGCGGGCACGCTCCACTAGGTGTGCGGGAGCTTTTCAGTGTGGAGCCCCACACTGGGCAGGTGCGCCTGAAAGGCCAATTGGACTATGAGCGAGCTGATCTTCATGAGCTATATGTGCAGGCCAAGGACCGGGGCCCCTCTGCAGTTGCCATTCACTGTCGGGTATTGGTGCACCTCCTGGACGTCAATGATAACGCACCGGAGGTGACCCTCACTTCGGTCTCCACACCGGTTTTGGAGGACGCACCTCCCGGTACTGTCATAGCTGTAATCAGCGTGCTGGATAGAGATTCGGGAGACAACGGGAAGGTGAGCTGCGAAATCCCGACTGATATACCCTTTCAGCTTCAGTCGTCTTTCCACAACTATTATGCACTAGTAACTACGGCACCTCTCGATCGTGAGACTGTGCCCGAATATAATGTCAGTATCACTGCCCAAGATCTGGGGTCTCCAGCGCTGGCTACCAAGAAGATCCTCACAGTCCAGGTGTCTGATATCAACGACAACGCGCCCCGCTTCCTGCAACCCTCTTACAGCGTCTACGTGACTGAGAACAACGCTCCTGGGGCATCGATCTGCTCTGTCAGTGCGCGGGACCCAGACTGCCAACAGAACGCTTACTTGTCCTACTCCATCGCGGACGGCCAGATCCAGGGCATGCCCGTGGCCACCTATGTCTCCATCAACTCGGACAGCGGGCACATGTATGCTCTGCGCTCCCTAGACTACGAGCAGATTCGCAACTTCCAGATCCAAGTCGTGGCTCAGGACGCCGGGTTCCCTCCTCTTAGCGGGAACGCCACGGTCCACGTCTTCGTGCTGGATCAAAACGACAACGCGCCCTTGGTCGTGGCTCCCATGCCCCGCAATGGTTCCGTGGCTGTGGAGGTGGTGCCTCGCTCAGCAGAGCCCGGCTACTTGGTGGGTAAAGTCTCCGCAGTGGACGCCGATGCAGGACAGAACTCGCGGCTTTCCTACCGGATAGTCCAGGCTACCGATGCCAGCCTCTTCAGCGTGGCCCTCTACACGGGCGAAATTCGCACCGTCCGCGCCTTCCTGGCCAAAGACGCCCCGAAGCACCGTCTTCTCGTCCAGGTGCGGGACAACGGACAGCCCCCGCTCTCGGCCTCTGTGGCCCTGTTGCTCTCGGTGGTGGACAGCGTCCCAGAGGTGCTCTCGGACTTCCGCGAGCTTCCTCCGGGAGGCGAGACCGCTTCTTCCAGGCTTACCCTCTATCTAATCGCCTCTCTGGGCTCCGTCTCCTTCACTTTCCTGGTGGCCATCGTTATCCTCACGGTGGTCAAGTGCCCCAAGGAGCGGCTGACCTTCCCCGACTATGCCTGCTCGCAGCTGTCTTGTGGCGGGGAGGGCGGCGGCTCCTCTGCCTTCTGCTGCTGCGGCGGCGGTTGCAGCTCGTGTGAGCGCTCGGCCCCCGCCTCAGACCGCTTCAAGAACTCCGGCAGCGTCAACGCCCCGGTCTCCTCGGGCGACTGCGGGGACGTCGGAGCCAGCGCAGGCCCTCCTGCCTATTGCTATAAAGTCTGCCTGAGCCCCGAATCGGCCAAGAGCGACTTCATGTTCCTGAAGGCTTGCAGTCCCGCCCCTCCGAGGAACAACGAAGCGGGCCCTCAGAACTTGCCGCCGGCTTCCGCCCCGAAAACCCGAGGGGCCAATAACTCTCGGCAGCTCGCCGACCAGGTAGCTTTTGGGGCGCCCCGAGGGGTGGGGGAGCCCCCTCGGGGAGGTAGCCTGCTAGAAAGGCAGACAGTGCCCGGAATCTGGAATACAGTAAAGCAACTTTCGAGAGGGGGGTGGGATGTTTTCAGTCTCGCCCAACTTTTTGAAAGATTGCGGCCCAGCCTTTTCCCCGAAAGCCATCGGGCTCAGCCAAAACTCTGGCTCATTACATAATTGTTTGGCCAAACTTGGGTTCCTTTTAGATAGATGAGATGTGGGAGAGGAGTTGGGAAAGGTCCCAGGAGCGCCGCTTTGGTCGACCTCAGGAGGCCCCGGGATTTAGGCAATCTCGCTCCGCAACTGGGGTGTTTCCCTTCCCAGGTCGCCGTTCGTTGGCTCTCTTTCAGTCGGGCGCAATGGGACTCGGCGGTTCCTAAGATCGATACCTGGGTGTCTGTGGGAGGGGGCAGTAGTGGGGCACGTCGTTCCCTTCGACTGGGTGGGAGAAGGAAGCGCAGCGGAGTCGGTTGAGATAAAGCCTCAGGCTCCGTCACTTTTACCGAGAGTCAATTGCCCGGCTTGCATTTGCAGTGGGATCCTGCATGTCAACCGCAGAGTTAAGAAGGACGGGGCAGGACCTTTCCTTCGCTGCTAACTGAAGGATCTGATCAGAACCGAGTCCCCTCAGCAAGGCTCTCTGGACAAGCCAAGGACCACTGTTGAGCTCAGGAGACTTTCCCAGACCCTGGAGTCCTTCCATGTGCCCCTCCTCATTTCCAGAGGATAAGCACCTGCTTTTTCCACTTAGGCAGCCCAGCCTTGCCTGGTGCTTTCTCAGTATATCCCATCCATTGTTGGGTTCCCATCTCTATCCTGTTTCTGGCCTCAGGTGAGATTAATGCTGCACTGCTTTGTGCCAAAAAGAGAGAGGATGCTTTGTGAGAGCAACCAACTCCTGCCCGTACCAAAGCTGAATAAGATGAAAAGGGGGTCTAGGTTGCTGGGGTTGAGGAGGAAAAATCATCATCATTTGCTAAGTCTATTTTTCAGTGAAGCACTTCCTTTGATAATAAAGCAGGATGACTGAAGGTGCAAAGTAGCACCTGCATAAAACACATACGGTTTTGCAGCTCTTTGAAAAATGCCCTCACCATTCTCTAGACAGGGTTTCTTTGTCCATGTTCATTTTCCTTGTTGGATATCCTTGTCTAATATGGTAATGTTCTTGTCAGCTCAAAACTCCCCCTAGTGACTTGATGTCTTGAGCTGATTTCCACCCCTCTTGTCTCAGGCTGATAGAGGAAAGAGCAGCAAGGCCACTCAAGCTCCCCTGGCCACTGAAAGAAGGGGGGGCTCTGCATTCCTGAGGGGGAAAGGTAGAAATGAAAAATGAAACCCTGAAGTTGTATATCTAGGGCATTGAGGCTTGGAGGCAATTATTCCTCTTGAGTTTAAGGCTGTCTTTAGGAAGGAAGGTGAATCTTTGCACACAATGAAATTTTGAATGAAAACAACCTCCAGCTTTTTCTCATGTTTTCCTCTGTTCTTGTCTCTTTGGAAGAATGGTACACTTCCTTGTTAGCTCTTAGAAATCTACCTTGACATGACTGATGTGGACTCCCCTTTACCCTTTCATTTATACAGGAAGAATTTGATAGCCTTAAATTGCCCTTTGCTTTACTGCTGGGATCTTCTGAGCCACAGGGAATAAGGGAGCTCTCTGAAAGTCCACAGGGGTGTGGGGTGGGGTATGAATGAAAATCAGTGCAAACTGAACCTGAACAAGAGCTGCAAAATAAAGCATGGAAAACATTTGGAATGGAAGTAGAATGTAAAATGAATTATGTATGTCTTCTATATTTTGTAAAAGGTTAATTGGTGGATCTTGTGATAGAAAGGCAGAAGTGACAATGTTCCCACAGATCCTTTCCCAGTAGAAGGATGGGCTTCGGAAAAGAATGGAATGGTCCCCCAGCCTGATCCAGAAATGGTCTGGAATACTGTAAAGGTTTTTTGTAATAAGATAGGTACAGGACTGGAAAAGGAGTTTCAGTCAGTTGAAGGACTGGTAAAGAATTATAAAGCAAACCCTGAAACTACCATACAAGGACAGGCATTATGGGCTGAGGGGAGAATGAATGAGTTGAGCGGTTCCACCACAAAACCGCGGTAGACTAAAGCGTGTGTGACTAAAGTGCAGTGACAAAACCGCACCGTCAAAACCGCGCGACAACAGCGCGCTGACAGAAGCGCGCTGTAACATAACCCTAACCCTAAACCTACTCTAAACCTAAACCTAACCCTAAACCT